CCTAACTCCTTTGTTGACCGCCCTTGCCGCGACCACCTGCCTTAACCTTTACCAAGGCAGTGAGGTTTCTATCCTCAACACTATCCTCGCCATCAAACTTTGAACCGTCCACTAAGTCAGAATAGTCGTCGATCACGGTTTGAATGCCATCGGCCTCAACCATCATCAATCGATTCCCCTTCTTCTTCCACTCTTGTGGACTCTTCTTTCTTCCGTTCGTAGAGGGTTCTTGAGCACCTCCTAGCGTGGCGTCCGAATCTAAAGCTTTCTTGCTAAAGGTCCCAAACGTGTGATACTTGAGGCGAGCCTTGCCGACTAATAAGTTCTTGACGTATGTGGGAAGACATACCAAGAACATGGTCATTAAGACCTGTGGATCGTAGCGTACCCCGGGAACGACAATCAGGCGCTCAACGGCCGAGGTGAGTTCGTGCACGGTCTTGTACTTCTTAGTATCAAGCCGGGTCAACGCATCAGTGGCAATCTGTACCTGTTGTGGGTTATGCCAATGTGCTTCCATCAAGTCCATGAAACTTTTTAGTGTATGGGTTTGTGCCCAATTGGTCATTCACCTGTCGAACCCTTTGGATGCTACCAATCCGTCTAGCCACCTCACTGTCAATCCCTCAAGATATGAGGTGACAATGATCACCCCTTCCTCTACTGCAGTCCTCTTCCCCCGTACCCACACTGGCACCGTTCTCAACCAAGTGTCGAGAGCCTCATCCTTCCTATCACCTGAGAAGGTTGAGGGTGGTTTTTGAGGGGTCTTTGGGTACCAAGGTTGCAGCTATCCCGCTGGTGGGACAGGTGGCGGTTGTGGTGTAGCTCTAGCCACTGGACCAGAAGAAGAAGAAGCAACAGTCTGTGCTGCTGCTGCTAAAGTACCGCCTGGTAGTGTACCAGACTGAGGAGGGTATGAGCTTGTCATCGTCGACAAAGGCATCGATGGCAAAACTGTTGGCCTGAAACCGGGCATGTGCATGGCATCTAGTATCTGGTCAAGGGTGTCCTGGATAGCATCCAGTTTGCTGTCCACGTAAGCGTTCATGGACAGGATGCTTCCCTTGACAATCTTCAGATTATTGTGAAGTGTTGAGTCATCTAATCCCTCTAATGCAGCTTTGTTTGCCGCCCTACCTGCAAGTCTGACACTTCTATTCCTAATCTCGTTTTCTCTTTTAGTAGCCTCCTTAAGTTCCTTCTCTAACCTCAAGCTCCTAATCAACTCCACTTGCTGGAGTTATATCTGTTCCCTGGTGCGTCGAGGCGGTGAGCTGAACTGCAAGTCCGCCATCTGACTAGTACCAGCTCCTGATGTACTGGAGACGGACTGCGAGCTGGTCGAGTTGAGCGGCATACGGAGCGACTGACCAACTGCTGCAGATGTTGCTGCAAATGTTGCTGCAGAAGTAGTCATCGCTACTGTGCTAGCTGCTGCTGTTGCTGTGCAATGACTTGCTGTTTGCTGCCGTCGGTGACCCGTCGACCCGAGGCTGTAACATAGGTAGGTTAGATTCCTTATTTTGTTTGGCTGAGGGCTAACCAAGAAGGGAAATTCATGAGGGACATATCTGCAAATTCGGGAAAACATAGGCCCGCACTAACTAGAATTTCCTACAGCTACCGTAACTGCGAATAGCTGGCCCGGGCTACCCCTAGGACAGACAGGCCCTAAAGGCTTATGCTGACAGACGGTCCTATAGCCTATAGCTGGGTAGGGAGACACCCTAGAGGCGGAAACTGAAACGGTACCGGTCAGTCCCACCAGTTTGGTCTAGGTCGTGTCTAGGCTAGGGTAGAGTATGAGTAGTTTAGGGGAAAACTATTCGGGGCTTTTGGCAGTCGGTACCGTGTACGTCGCTGCTGTGCAACGCATGAACTGGAAGTGGTGACAGCTTCAGCGTTGGAGAAGACGAAACCTGGAACACTACAGGTATCCTACATGTACGGGCCCTTGCTTCGACCCTGAATCTTCTTTCGTGCCTTGGTAGTAGAACCTGGAACACTACAGGTATCCGACGTGTATCCCACCGTGTTGGCCTTCTGTCGTCAGCTGTACCTTCACCACCTTCTGATCCACTCATCGGCTAGGCAGACGCTGTATGCACTAGTGTTCTCTTTGGAACCTACCGCAGCATGCGTCCGGCCAGTTTAAAAATAATTAAACAATAAAATAATGTCCGGCAAGTCACCCGAGTTACTGTTCAAGTGGTATCAACAACATTTACACAAGTTGTACACATAATATAAATCTACTTCGATTAGTTCACTTACAGGAGCTTCAAAAAGAACTGACTGTGGTAGAACATTACAATCCTATTCTAGGCTGTTTGTGAAGTGTTAGCAGTCTGTCAACCAACTAATCAAAATAAAAACAGATCATGTGAGGTGTTAGCAGTCTGTTAACCAACTAATCAAAATAAAAACACATCATGTGAGCAGATGTATGCACAATGGAAATGGTTGTGATATACAGTTTGAGCATCAATTAGAACCTTCCTTCCCCTATATCCAACGTGCCTGTAGGCATCATCGAGCAGCAGTGTCTAAGGTGTGCATTAACGGCCCACCCCTGTGCCCAAGGAATATACTTATGACCAGAACTGCCCTTTATTTATCCTCGCGTGCAATGAGCCTTAGGTCTGACTGATCTGGCTGATCAAGAGGCAGTTTAAGGACGACCCGCACGGTCCTCATAACTTATTTAACGTCTCAATCAAGACGACGATCACAGCCAGTGGACAGATCAGAACCCTGCCAGAAATATTTATAGACGGTCTGGTAAGTGTTTGCATAGGACTGGTCAGTCCGCACACCTCGCAGCAAAGAGCCTTTAAAGGACAAAGCAGCATGGCCTGCGTGTACTACTCCCATGGGTTGGCATGGTGACCTTGACCCGCTCTTCGACCAGGGCCCTTCAGAGGCACCGCCCTCTCCTGCCAGATGTGCCACCTGGAAGAATGTCCTCTCTCAAGGTAGAGCGCTCACGACTCCTCTCTTTCACACACACACACACACACACACACACACACACACACACACACACACACACACACACACACACACACGTATACACAAACGTAGCAATGTATACACACAAAAGAGAGGACACTCAAGGTTGGACCCACTTCCTCATGGTAAGAAGAGATTGAGAGGGAAGACAAGGTAAGGGAACAACGTACCTGGAGATAGCTGCCCCCAACCACAGATTCCTCACCAATTGAGCCGAATGTGCATTTTGATGACCGGTCGTAGCCTCGGTACCACCCACAATGCAATGCAGTGCGACCTCAGCCAAATGCCACATCAGCATGCTCTCATCATTCATACATACACCCGCCGTCGCCACAGCTCCCACACTGTCGCCACAGCCCCCACACTGTCGCCACAGCCTTCCTGCATCGCACCCGTCTACCGGGGTGCCGCATCAACAAGCCAGCGTCAAAGTATCCTCACTGCACAGAAGCATCGTCAGCGCACCAAGTAACAATGTCGCCGACACCAGGTAAAGGTGGTCACGAACTAGCTCCGGTACCAAGTTGCAAGGAATATGAGTGAGAACAATATACAGGAAGCCAGGTTGAGAATCACACAGATGTCCAAGTAGTCATGTACCAAGCAGAGAGCATAAAAAATGTGCCAAGATTCCATCCACATAAGAGCGTTACAAAGAACTCATGAGCAAATGTTCAAGCCCTCAGGCCACACCAACGCAGTATCCAATGTCTCTCCTACTGTATGGCGCCCAACGCCCTTCCTACTCTACCTAGCCTACCCTACTACAGACGCATTCACGCAACAGGCTCACTTCAACTTTGAAGACCAATGTACATGACGTCAACGCCATAGCCGACCTCCCTCATGCACCCAGGTACGTATCTCGTCTCCCCTCATCACCCCCTGACCCCCACTCTCTCTGCACCTCCTTCCAAAGACCACCGATCGACCCTTAACCCCTTGCGCCCTGCAGCCCGCTATGGCTGCTAGCGCACCGCTGCCCTGCAGCGCTCCTCTCACCACCAAGCGCCCGTATGCGCCCCAGCCCATTAACGTACGAAGCAGCCACTCGTGCAGCAACGCAGCAGCGTGACCGCAATGCCTGCGTGGGCCAGAATGCTCGACCCTGGCTGCCTCTCTTCCTATATGGAAGTGGCAGCCTCTGTTGGCTGCGTGTGGGTTTGGCTGCGAAGCTTCCGGTTGGGCCCCAGTGTCTGCGACCAGGCCTTTCTCTGCAGTGGAGGGCCTGGCCCGTTATAGTTGGGCACAGCCAGGATTTTCCAGACTTCGTCTGTTTTCTGCATTTGCACGGGCCTCCGGGGTAGATACAATGACAATGCTATTTTCTTCAGGCTCGTGGCTACTTCGTGATGTATCTGCCTCACAATGCGTGTGCCCAGGGCACGACCACCTGGGCGAACTGTACAGCGTAGTCCATGCTTCTGGAGAGAGCTGGGAGGCTCACATTTCCGCATAACCAACTGGTGAGCTGCAACTGTCTGATGAGTACCCACATATGGACAATCATCAAATTTTGGCCTCTTGTGAATAATCAGGCCCGCCTTCACTTACGGCGGGCACAGGGCTTGCTGAGGGCCACTGCCCAGAACATGTGCATATCCGGTAAGGGCCCTGCGAGGGCTCATTCCTCGCACATGTGACATTTTTTTTTTTTTGTACTGGCCCTTTGGACGCCCTTTCCCGAGCCTCCGGAATTTTAGGAGAGGCTCAATTGCGATTCTCAACTTGGCTGGGGCCATGTACTGGTGGGGGGTTCAATGAAACAAATAGAGAACTAATCCTACAAAAGAAAATATTAGATTTCAAATTCAAGACTTTTGTTGTGCGATCGAATCATATCCAAAACAAACCCAAGCAGTGAAAGTTTTCTTTGTTTTCCTTTGCCCGATTTTCACAAAATTTTACCATTCACTGATTTATGCCTGGCATGGTTGTTGCTTGTGATACTCTCTCCTGCTGTCTGTGTCCCTTGTGCTCAGGAAACCGACAGCAGATATTTCTGAGCATCGATTTCTCCTCGCTTTTTAAAAGTGTCAAAGACCATTGACACCGCTTCGGCAGCTGTTTTCATGAGACTAAGTAACACCAATGTCACACACACACACACACACACACACACACACACACACACACACACACACACACACACACACACACACACAGAGAGAGAGAGAGAGAGAGAGANAGAGAGAGAGAGAGAGAGAGAGAGAGAGAGAGAGAGAGAGAGAGAGAGAGAGAGAGAGAGAGAGAGAGATCAAATGATAGGTCACAAGATCTGTCACAAGATAAATCACACGGTAATCACGCAGACGATCTGGAGGATATAGACTTGTGACATACATTAAATTGTTGTTTTCTTGCTACTGTTTTAAATCCACCTTTGGTTGGTTTTCCCATGGAGAAACGAACCTACTGATCCAAAGCCTCTCTCACTAGGACATACGTAATTTGTCAGTGGTCATGTTGTCACGTTCTCTCTCACGACAAACACTCGTATAATCCAACAAAATTGTCGTTTGGAGATTTCTTGTTAGCAAATATATAGGTAGGTAGGAATCAAGGAAAGGAAGCAAGAGTGTTCAGCGTCCTGACGAGTCGGTGGAACTCAGACGAAAAGGTCTGTCACAGCCCATCGTTTGTTCTCCTCTTCTCCCTCTCTGCGTACGGTTTACTGGGCAGTTTTGTTGAAGATGAGTCGGTGGAACTCCGACGAAACAGTTTGTCACAGCCCCTCGTTTGTTGTCTTCTTCTCCCTCTCTGCCTGCAATTTACCCGGCAGCTCTGTTTGACCATATATATCCGCCTCGTTTGTTGTCCTCTTATATATATGCCCCCCTCGTTTCTTGTCCTCTTCTCCCTCTCTGCCTACAGTTTAGCAGGCAGTTCTGTTTGACGATATATATGTATGTTTTTTTTTTGGTATATGTTCCCTGCCCCTTGGTTGCGGCAGGTGCTACTGCCCTTCGTCCTCTCTGACTGTACTATGTTTTATTGGGTCTCCAACTTTTATTCCGGTTAAGCAGAACCTAGGAAAGGTGAATGGTGCTGATGTGTAAACCTCACATGTGAAGTTATAGGACGGAGTTGATGGAGAGAGGAGTCTACCAACGTGCACATATATTTCTTTGCAGGTGTGTCCACAGTGCTGCTCAAATCTTTGTATACAGTCTGTGCATAGCCTGTGCACATAATCTGACTATACAGTCTCCGCCATAGTCTGCGTACACAGTCTGCACAATGTGTGCATAGACTGTATCATAGTCTATGTGCGTAGTCTGTGTCCACACTTCTATCGGAAGTGTACTTGTGTCATCTGTCTACACATCCTAGGAAGTCTATGTACCTTTCCTGTACATAGTCTGTTTTATTGCTCTGTACATAATCTGTCTGTCTGCAACGTAGCTGTCTTCATAGTCTGTGTTTGTAGTTCTGCCCATATCTTGAACTGCTCTGTCTGCAAAGTATCTGTCTACATAGTCTGTGTCTATAGTTCTGCCCATATCTTCAACTGTGCACACGTTCTGTGTCAATTCGTGTTTGTGAATATGTCTCAGTCCAACACTCCCTTTTGAGTCCTGTGTACATAGTCTATACTTCTGTCCAAATTTGTGTAGACATAATGTGCATGTGTGCATAGGCTGCATATCTCGTCTCTAAAACTCTCTCTCTAAAACTCTCCCTCTCTAAAACTCTCTCTCTAAAACTCTCCCTCTCTAAAACTCTCTCTCTAAAACTCTCCCCCTCTAAAACTCTCTCTCCAGTTGTCCATCCCATCTCTCCTTCTTTTCCAGCAAGTCCGTCTGTTGACCCTGTATTTATCTTTCCTTCCTTCACTCTGTACTTATCATACTGTGTTCTGCTGCAGGCCCTGCACTTGTGCGGCACGAGCCGCACTGATTTGTAGTATAGTCGCACTAGAAGTCTCCCGTACTACATGTACGAGGTCGCATAGTCTTGAGACCTTTCTAGGTGGATGTAAAGTGTAACTCCCGCGCATTTGTACTGAATCCGTTCGCCACCATTTTATCTTATCTCCGGAGTATATGTCTTCCTTCATGCCGCGAGGAGCTGATCAACACTTGGGTTGGTGATATGATAGTGCATGTGCCAGGGAGTCACGGTCAGGTTTGTTGGCATTTGGGTGCACGACTTTGAAGCATTTGAGCAAGGGGGGGGATTGAAAAAGAGTTATCTCCCCTCATTACCTAGGGACGCCGTTTAAAATGGCCGCGCAGGTGTCTAGGGTGCTGACCACTGCCGTGTGTTTCGGGCAGGCTCGGAGCTTTGATACCGGCTTGGATGCCATCGGGCGTCCAGGTCGGCATCGCAAACACTGTCATCATCGACATCAGTGCTCTTATTGTTGCCGTCAATTTCGTGATCATGCTTTTCGGCGGGTGCATGAAGATTTGTGGGCTCTGCAGGTGGGGGTGCTATGGAGCTGCGTGAACAGGTCAATTAAGGAGGGTCGGAACAGCACGCCTTTGTGCGCCCCGATTGCCACTGATGCGCATAGGAAAGGGGAGGGCTTTTCCGTGGCCCCCTGCCGTTCACGGGTAGGATTGAACACAGGATGTGGAGATGCTTGCCACCATCATTTTCATTGTGATTATCGTGCAGCATGGAGGGAAGGAAGAGAATCAGGTCCGAGAGGCGGCCCAGGATTGGCAGCATGGAGGGAAAGCAGAGGATCAGGTCTAGGACGAGGCGCGGATTATCCTGTAGCATGCAGGGAAAGAAGAGGATCAGGTCTAGGAGGTGGTGCGGATTATCCTGGAGCATGGAGGGAAAGAAGAGGGTCAGGTCTCGGGGGAGGCTTGGATTCAAGCTGGCTGCGGGTTGACGACAGAGCAGAGGTAGGCGTTTCCATGTCCATTGTGCGACGGTCGGGTGATGACAGTGGCCGCACCAGCAACGAAGGTTTGGGACCCATCGATGGCCACGGAGGTGATGACATGGAGTACGCTTCGGGTCAGGTGGTGGTTGTGACGAGGGAAAGAGGAAAGAACGGGAAGCTGATGGATTTGCTGGGTGCACAGGGTGTCGAATGCCTGGAGCTGCCGTTGATTGAATATGTGGACGGTCCAGATTCTCCAAAGCTGGTGAAGGCCTTGCAGGCCGAAGAATGGGCTTGGGTGATTTTGACCTCCCCCGAGGCGGCATCCGTCTTTCTGCAGAACTGGGAGAAAGCAGGCCGGCCGGCATTACGTATGGCGGTGGTTGGGTCCGGAACAGGTCAGGTTCTGCTAGATGCAGCAGCAATAGCAGCAACACAAGGATTAAACGGGGAGGGAGAACTGCTAACCATCGGGTTTCAACCATCAAAGGCGCAAGGGGTGTATCTCGCTGCAGAGCTGCCTTTGCCAGATCTTTCTCCTTCTCCCTCTCCTTCTGCTGCTCCACCTTCTGTTGCCACTGATGTTGGTGTCAGCCGAAAGGTACTCTACCCAGCATCGGTGAAAGCTAGCCATGAATTAGAGGAAGGCCTCGCTAAGCGTGGATTTGCCGTCACTCGATTAAACACTTACTCGACCGAGACGGTGAGGCAGCTTGACAGGGATCGCTTTGCCAGAGCTGTACGATCGCCTGTCATCACGTTTGCATCTCCGACAGCTGTAAGAGCATGGATCAGCCATGTGGCAGATGCACAATGTGAATGGGACGGTGTGGCGGCATGCATTGGTAGTACCACCGCTGAGGCAGCAATGAGAGCTGGTGTGAAGAGGGTCGTCTATCCGACGAGTCCAGGAATGAATGGCTGGGTTGACGTCATCATGCAGGCCCTTCAGCAAAACGAAGTCGCACGGATCTGAAGCATATGTGCTGTGCTTGTGTTCTCCTCTCCCCCGATTTCGCCGAGGTGGGCTGAGAAACGGGCCGTGCAACAGACCGCTTAATTGTGTGCAACGGCTTCCTCACTCCTCGGAGGCCGGCTTCAAAACGGTCTGACGAGTCTTTCGCCCCTATGCCCAAATCCAACGAATGATTTTCACGTCAGTATTGCCGCGAGCCTTCACACCTTTTCCCTCCTCAGCCTCACTCACACAAACACTTTCCAGGATGTATTGAAACCACCAGTACTTCCGGAGGTCACGGCATGCATGAGCCCGTTTGTGACTTTCGAAAGTAGTAGTGGTTTTACCACAGCTACGGCCAGATCTGGACGAATCTGACTGCAATCGCATCCTGAGCTTCGCAGCAAAGATCCTTTTTCTTTTTTTGTTTCCCGCAGCTAAGATCGTAGTATGAGTATATGCCCCTATTCGACTTGAACCTGCCTCTATCTTCCACAGGTTCATGCATAGCATAAGCCTGAGTATAATGGCTTGGGGCATGAGGCCTGGGCTCGGCAGGGAATAAGACAGTGTTAGAGAACTTTAGAGGGTTTTGTTAAGGAGTCCAGGGGCGCTGAGCATTCAGTAGACTAGCAATAGGCCAGCAATTATCTAAGTTTTCTAAATTTTCCTGGTGTAAATGACACAGTTGTCTTTCCTAGCCGAAGCCGGGTAATGGTCCCCGTACCTCAAGATGGTCTTAAGAATGATGTAAGATTCTGGGGACTCCTAGCAACTCATCTTAGACGGCTCCATTGCTGATATACTCGGTGATGTGAGGCTGTTCAATGCCAGAACGACGCTGGCCGGTGCTGGGGTGTTACCCTGTAACCTGCTGATGCAGGAGTGTGAGGCCTGGTAGAGAGATCTGGGGATGCTTTGGGGTGGGCATTCCAAAGGACAACCAAGGGTTGCTGCTGGGACGACGCTGGCCGGAGCTGGGGCGAGTCGTGTTGCCCTGTAACCCAGCACGGTGGGGGTGTGAGGCCTAGAAGAGCTCAGCAGGGAGTAAGACAGTGCTGGAGAGCTTTAGAAGGGTTGCTAGGGATCCACAGGGTTTTGAGCATTTGTAGGACCTCTGTGGTGGCGTATTTTTTTTTCTTCTGTAGTTTGTCGTAGTAAATTTCTAAGTAGCTCAAGATTTTCTCAAAGTTCTCTCAGCCAAAGCCGGGTAATGGCCCCGGTATCTCAAACTTTCAAAATTTGATGTAAAGTTCCGTATGGGACGCTGGGCCCGGTTCCCAGCACGTGCTGCTCCCCACGAATAGATTAGAGCCTTGTCCCAAAAAAAAAAAAAAAAAGAAGGCTTCTTCTTCAAAAAGAAAGACACACAAAATTAAAGGCAAAGAAATAGAAAGGGGGGAACCAAACAGGGGAGGGGAAACAACTCCCTCAAAAGAGAAAAAAGAGCAAAAAAAACGAAGAAAGTCAATCACGGTTGTCTTTCAGGCGCTCAAGATTTTTCGGTTGTGTCCTGGTTCGAAGGGAGTGGATTGGTTCTTTTTGCAGCATTGGGCTTCATACTCAAGGTTGGTCACTGTCGATTGAGTCACGTTCTTTTTTGAAGTTTTTTGAACTTTTTTCACCTTGGGACCTTTTCTGCAGATGTAGTTGTTCAGGGTCCGGCCCCCACCAATAGATTATTAAAAAAAAAGAAAAAGAAAAAAAAAAACGGTCCGGCTCGGTGGTTGAGGAGATAGTGTTTGGAGGGGCGGGGCTGTGCGCTTCGGGTGGGGCAAGACAACCCGGCTGTCAGTTTGTATGTTGCCTTGGGCATTGGGCCCTGATAATGATTGGACAAAAAAGGGGGAAAAAATTGGGCTCCTGATTTCCTTCTGTCTGCCTCTGACACGTGCAGGGGTGGTCTTATCCTCTACTTCAGCACACTGTGAGGGTAGAAGTCATAGGTTGCGGGCTTAAATCCTGCAACCTCGCTACGACTTGGCGACATTTGCTAATCCTCACTCTGCTGTTCCGTGTTTAACAGATCCCTACGAATGACAAATGTACTAAGCAGGGGTTTGAAACCTGCATCAGCAAACAACTGTAAGGAACATCCTGAAGAGTGTGATAATGAGGGGGAGGTGCAGGGTGGAATCCTGCTGCCCTCCTGCCAAACCTACCTGGCAGGCTCGGTGCCTTGGCCTTTCACTGGGGGAGCTTCGCATTCACAAAGCAGAGTTTAGTATCCGGCTTAAACCCCAGCACCACCAATAATCAATTCGGTCTGGGTGTGGCGACCAGACAGGCAGGCTTGGTGCCTTGCCTTTCGCTAGTGGAGCTTCGCTTTTGGAAAGTGGAGTTAAGCATCCGGGCGCAAACCCCAACAATTCGGTCTGGTCATGGCAACCACATTCTTACCCGGCCGTTTTCAGGATACCTTCTCGCGTCCACACATCCGGGGTGCAACACACTAATCTGCGGATCTGTGTGCACACCACGGGCACACTTCATATTTGTAGCCACTCTTTCGGAGCACGTCAGGCCAGGGCTGAGGGGGTCTTTAATAACTTGAACTGCTGTTTTTACCAATATTACTGCACGCCATGCTCGTGCCCGCATCCTGTCGAATTTACCCGCCTATTCCGCTCGGTCATTGCGGTCGAGGGTACGGGTCATCCTGCAGTTGGCGTGTCGGCACCATCCTCCGAAGAGTGGCTACTCAGGCTTACTATGGTCTGCAGACTCTGCACGGAGCGCGGGCAAATGCTCTTGTCAGGATACTTGCTCTGACACTCAGGACACTGCCAGTGCTATTCAATATGCCCCAGGTTGCCAGGAGGCCCAAACTTTTCAATTGACCCATCGGATCGAGGATCTGAGTACCACATGTTCTCCTTTGCTGTCTCCAGGGGTGGGAGTGCTTTTTTTGGGAGATAGCAGTGATTTACGCCCTAAATTGAGGTGGGGTGGAGTAGGGATTCTGAATCATGGGGGACATTGCTCCATTTGACCAGGGACCTATTTTTGCAGGGCAAGTTCAATCAGAGAATCATGGGGGGCACTGCTCCATTTGACCAGGGACCTATTTTTGCAGGGCAAGTTCAATCAGATAATAATTGGGTAATATCTACTGGGCATATGTGAATTGGCAAAGTCATGTCGGAGATCTTCCTCCGGGTGTGCAGCACACTTGGGATATAACAGGGATAGGAATTTTTTGGTCTGGAACATCATCACAGCAACAGAATAAGGCAACCACATCACAGGAACGTAGTAAGCCGACCACACAACAATGGACAATTATGCAATTGACTGAAGTTGGAGGGGCAGTTGCAAGGGGTTTAGTCTGCTCCTGCAGTGGAAGAGGGTGAGGGTGTTTTCCTCCCCCCGTCTCTTTCGTCGTGGAAGTAGTGGGGCATGGGTGGGGAGCTCCGGCTCTTTGTATTGTTGACGAAACCCTCGACGTTTCTTTTTTTTTTTTTTTTTTTTTTTTTTGAAAACTTCGTATACGGGAAACCTACTTAACGAGGTGGTAAAAGCATCCCCGGTAAGTAGGTCCCAGCGTCGAAGGCTCCATCTATTGGTGGGGAGCTACACCTGCTGGAAATCGGGTCCAGCGTCCCTGTACATTGATGTGAATGTATCTGCTGGAAAACGGGTCCAGCGTCCCTGTATGATGATGTGAATGTATCTGCTGGAGAACGGGTCCAGCGCCCCTATTCAAAATGTGTTGATATCTCCAACTACCAATGTGTGCATGTTAGGCAATATTTGTCAGATGATGGGAAACCCTATCCATCTGATGTACGATATCTCAAAACAAACTAAGGCTCCAGACCCAGTCTCATCTATCAGACGGAACCCTAATCATGATGTGATGAGTAAAACTGTGATGTGATGAGTGTCAGCCGGAAGACGGGTCCAGCGCCAGTGATGTGATGAGTGTCAGCCGGAAGACGGGTCCAGCGCCCTATACAGCGGTTTGTAGCTATGTCCTGCCGTCAGCAATCCATATGCATATGCATCACCATCCAACCGGTGTGTCTTCATTCACCGACTAATTCATATCCCCGGAAGGGAAAGTCGTATCCCCTTAATCTAGAACCTAGCATAGGACTATAGAAAGCGAGGCATCAATCCCAATTCCATTGATCAATCCAAAAATCAAACCCTAACACAGATATGAAGTGAAACCCCTGAGCTGATGTACTCTGTGTGAAGGATTACTTCCCAACGTAGGGGAAGGATTGACCTCCTGCTCCTAACGCATATACCTAAGAGACGATTCATCATAAGAAAACAGTCGGTAGGGGTGGGGGGGAACAGTACACAGTCGTACCTTCATCCTTAACCCCCACTTCAGCAGCCCCAACACGCAACAGAATCCCCCCCACTGCCCTGCTGACGGCATCTTTCCCGTTGTGCTGTTAAGGAACAAAAATGCAAAAGCACCACTCTCTGTCCCACTGCCTCCGTGGTTGTCGTTGCTGCCATCGTCGTGGCTGTTGTTGTTCTTCTTGCTATTTTTGTTATTGATATCGCCGTTGTTGTTGACGTCCGTTTCATCCTTCTCACCCACCTCCCCCTTTTCGCCCAATCCCTGCTCACCATCGTTTTCAGCATTACTGTTGTTGTTGTTGTTGTTGTTGTCGCCGTTGTCAGCATCCTCACCCATCTCAGCCATCTCGTGGTTTTCGCCATCTTTGTTGTTGTTGTTGTTGTTGTTGTTGTTGTTGTTGTTGTTGTTGTTGTTGTTGTTGTTGTTGTTGCTGTTATCAGCATTCTCTCCATCTCGTTGTTGTTGTTGTTGTTGTTGTTGTTGTTGTTGTTGTTGTTGTTGTTGTTGTTGTCGTTGTTGTTGTTGTTGTTGTTATCCTCCATCACACCTATCTCACCCAGTTCGCCCATGCCCCACTCGCAGCCGGTCATGAAGATGCTATTGTTATTGTAGCCGTTGTTGTAATTGACATTGTTGTTGTCGACCTTCCCACCCTTCTCGCCAGTCCCACCCATACCCTGCCTCTCCTCTTCCAACCCCTGCTCCGCCTCCCCTCTTGTTGTTGTTACTGTTGCCATTGCCGCTGCCGCCATTTCGACCGTTGCGACTAGCCCCCACTCCCCTTCCCACTCCGCTGTGTCGTAAGTGGCGTATTCCCCCTCTCCATCGTCAAATCCACTCTCATCCCCGATCTCCCACTCACCCGCGTCATCATCGTCATAATCCCTCTCTCCCTTGCCTTCGCCAACCGCGCTCTCATCCTCAACCTGGTTAGAGAGTGCCATCAGGTTACCCCACCTTTCTTCTGCCCCCCCTTCATACTCCTCACACTCAAGCACAGCACCAGCGCGAGACGTCTCTTTTTCAGAATCCCAGCTCTCACGCACAGCTCAGATATTTGCATAGTGGGGAAGCGCATCGCAATCATCATTTTGCTCACCATCAAGATCTTCTGTAGGCGAGACATCCTCTTCGTTATCAAAGTACGTATCCTGTAGTCCAGAATCCCCGCTGTCACACACAGCACAGATATTTGCATAATAGCGGAGTACATCACAACCATCATCTTGCTCACCTCCAAAATCTTCTGTAGGCGAGACATCATTTTCATTATCAACGTGCGTATCCTGTAGTCGAGGTGCCATCAAATTACCCCACGCTTCTTCTGGCCCCCCCTCATACCCATCACACTCAAGCACAGGAGCAACACGAGTCATCTCTCTTGCAGAATCCCAAGTCTCACACACAGCACAGATATTTGCATAATAGCGGAGCACCTTTCGATCATCATCTTGCTCACCTTCAGAAGCTTCTGTAGGCGAGACATCACCTTCATCATCAAAGTGCATATCCTGTAGTCGAGGTGCCCCATATTGTAGCTCCCCCTCCATCTCTTTCCTTCGTCCGGAATGCTGCGCCACGTATTGCCATTCGTCGTCAATCATCACCGCTGGCGCTACCCCTGCCAGCGCGTCGCGGACGTCGCGGACGTCCTCGTGCATACAGCAGATGCCATGTGGCAATCAGAGGTCCATGCGTTTCTGCCGGGCGCGCACACAGGCCTAGCAGCCCGGGGCCCTCCTTCCCGGGTGCTAGTCGTATCAGGGACAACCAGGCTGTGCCGGTTGGTCTGCTGCGGGGCGCTAGCGCTAGCACAGCAACCCTCGATGTTTCAGAAGTTCTTCAAATTTTCAGT